CCACCTCTCTCTGAAAAACAAAGTCCTCCTCTACAAAAGTACCATCTTCCCAATCCTCACCTATGCAGCAGCCATATGGTCCACAGCAGCTAACAGCCACCTCAAGAAAATTCAAGTGTTTCAGAGTATTACACTTCGTATCTTGACTAATGCTCACTATTATGTCCGAAATGAAGTGCTTCATAATGATCTTCAAATTCAACCCCTAGATGCCTATTTCCGGCACAATTCGGCCAAATTCTTTAATAGATTAATGTTTATAGAAAACCCGGTCCTGCACTCACTCCCTGTATACAATCCGGCAGAACCCAGTTCTGCCAAGCGACCTAGGAGCGTTTTCTCGAGAACATTTAACATCTTTCCTAGGAAGCCAAAACGGAGGTGTTTGCTTGACTAGAAAATTCTCTTATTTCTTCCTAAAGCACTTCACGGACTTAACCCGACAATCTAAATTTATTTCTCCCACCCCTGGACCTAATCCAGCATCATTTACTTTGACAATCAAATCCGTGCTGCTCAGTCCATCATATCTCCCTTTGCCATGACCTTTACCAATTATCAAAGAAAGCAATTTAAAAAACTGAACTTATCATAGAAAAAATTCGCTTTAATTCCATTTTAATTCTAAATAACTATAAAGTCATAAGCAATTTTATACAACCTTTTATCTAATCCACCACTGCCAGACATACCTAACTTATCTTAATTTACCTTAAATTAATCTCCTAAATCCTTAATAATTAACTTAAAATAATTAACCTAAAATTCCTAACCATTCCTCACAACAGTTTTCATGTTTTATTTTCAGCCACAATCATCAAGCTTGCATTTCTTCAATTACGAATCCAGCCTGAACTCCAACCTGCTAACTCTTACGCAAAAATAATCCCTTTAAATTTTACCGTTAAACTTCTCCTCTCCTAGCTTTTCTTTCCTTTACAATAGCCTTTACCTCTCCCCCCCATCCACTCCTCGCGCTTCGAAAAAGTTCTCCAGTTATTTTCGCAGTTAAGCGACTAACGGTTTCCCTGCGGGCGGTCGGAGTGAAAACTCCCCCCCACCTACCCTATCGCTCCTCTCTTCTCTCCTCTCCTCTGCCATTTTTACCCCCCCCTTCAGCCATCTTTGGTTCTCGGACCGGCTCCCTTCCCCGCTCATCCCAAGGCATTAGCGATTCTGCTGCTTTTCAGAGTAGCCATGACATAACCTTTCCCGGGGCCGGAGGCAAGTTCCTCTCACCCCATTTTCTTTCAACAGTCTCGATTTCATCCACGCAAAGCGTGCAGAAATCGCCTGCGTTCTTCTTCGATCTTTCTTATCTTCTTCCTTAGCGAAATTGAAAGTCGAAGGAACTTCTCGTCCCTTGAGTGGACTCCTCATTCATTTCTGGTTTTTAAACCCTTAACGGTTTCATTCCTCACATTAGCTATGCTCACTCTTAATTATTCAATAATTTTTCTTAACGAAGTTGTGGAGGTTATTGCATTTATTTGCAAAGGTACTCCGGAAGCAAAACGCCTTGGGCCTTGGGCCGAAACACAAGTAACTGCAGTAACCATTGATAGGTGACTCAGCAAATGAGGGCTGAGGTCACCGAGGCGATTGTGCCTACTGTGCACATTTGAAGGGGTACCGGAAGCATTCAATCAGAAATTTCATGGACTTGAGTAGAACTGTTTCCAGTGATTAAACCACTTCGAACTAAACCCCGATGACTGCCGAAAATGTATCTTAAGTCGTTCAGGACAGCGATGGAATTCTCACCTGAATGCCATCCTCCCGCCAGCCAGGAATTATGGTATGGACTGAAATTTACTTTGACAGCTGAATCTCTTTGATTGTCATCCATGACACCATTGCAGCTCGCCCGTATGTCGACGAGATTATACGCCCTGTAGTGTTGCGCTTCCTAACATGACCTCGGGACTTACATTTCAATACGATAACGAGCGGCCACATACGGCGCGTCTTTCTACTGCTTCTCCAACTCCCTGGCCAGCGCAATCTCTAGATCTCTCCTCAATAGAGCACGTTTGGTCTCTGATAAGCAGGCATCTCTGACCGTGGCTGGATCACCCCGATATAACTCGTCAGTTGGAATTTATATAACAAGCAAACTCACTGGAGGACCTCCGCCAATTCTACGAGTCAATGACCAGCCGGGTAACAGCTTGCATCAGGGCCAGAGATGTGCCAATGCGTTATTGACTTTTTTTTTTACACTTTCAGCTGTATTCCCTGAATAGAATATTCAATTCCTATGATACTGTTAGCGTTTCGTTTTCAATACATGTACATCACATCTACCAATTTTCGTCCTATTCGGATAATTCCTTCTTAGTGCGTCGTTTGTTATGTTATAGAGTGATGTACACTTTAGTATAATATATATTTCATTGGTATCCTGATATAAATGTTAATATACTCTTGTCTACTCATATTCCTCGTTTTAGATTTAACGAAAACACTCGGTACAGCAAAAATGCAGCTACAAAAACAAAAGGAAGTCTGTTTTTCGTAGGTGAACTTTCAGGGGATTTTATTTGCTACAGCTAATTTCGAATTTGAGATGGTAAGGTGAAAAAAATGTTAGATACTTAGCAGAATAAGGTTGTAGAGTATCATTTAGTTTTCTAACCAGTTATTTTAAGTAGCTTCCTTATTAAACCTCATTTCATTTCCCTGCTCGAATGCAAATTTCCAGCACGCACGATATTGAAATTAAGTAAGAAGAAGGAAGCATTTAAAAGAAGATTTTTGGAGTGTGAAATCGGAACGTGTTCTGCCTGAAGGCCACGTTTCTAACTTTGATTCTCTTAGTGGTTAGAATTCTGCAGTGTTAAGTTATTTTTGCCATCCGGCTTGTTTACGCTGACTTCGAGTTAGAGCCAGCTTGCATGATATTTAAACTATAAAGTCAATAGGTCATATTTAAACTTCATCAATTTTAAGTTACTCAATACCTTTTGATTTAAGCCAAAAGTGTTGCCTTTTGTAAACCCGAATTGATGCTGATTGTTAAACTTTATTTAATAAAGGGTTCTATACACCCTTCTCTTGATTTTGTAGTACTTTAAAAGACTTAGTATAAAAAAAGACTTAATCACTAAACAGTCTTAAACATCGCCTGCATTTTATTATAACAAAGAATACACGACGTTACAAGATCATAAATTCTAACATGAGCATCGCATGCTGATAAACAAGATGCGTCAGGAGAATGTGAATATATTTTAAAAAGAAAGAAACATCTTTTTTGTGTGATAGAACCAAACTTAATTATAGGTTAATTTAGTCGCCCTTATCATAGGTAAATTAGTTTTAATACAAGTTTCTTGAACATTTAACTGTTCGGTTATTTATGTGCTCCTCCACAGTAACCGATTTTTTGCGCTACACAACGTTCTTCAAGGTGCTCTAACTAGATTTTGATTCACTATCATATGTCACATATTACATACATGAGAGTATTGCTTGATGTATTGCTCAAATGCCATACTATATAATGTAAAGAGGATTCAACATGAAAATGAATGTACAGAAACCATAATTGTATAAATGTGTATACATTTTCCTGACGGACCCTGTGTGTGCTCTAGTTTAAGCCACAAAACGTTCTGTATCATTAGGTAAGTAATTTAATTTAAATAATACAATATAAATCATAATAATTATAATGATCCTATTCATAGGAAAGGTATTATTTGCGAAGAAACCTAATATGATTTTACAGATTAATTAAGAAAATCAGACGTGCTGAATTATATTAATGCAAAATAAATATTTTATCAGTTCAAACTCATGACATGAAAAATTTCATAACTATAAGTATATTGCTTCAGCTTCATGTGAGTCTTATCTCTGAATGAAGGGATCATTCTAAAATTGAATTTTATATAAAATAAGTATGAAATCGAAGTTAATTCGAAAAAAAGTTTTACAATGCACTACATAAAAATTTCGATTGAATTTTATAGCTATCAAAAATTATTAATTCTATTTTAATTTTCTGATTAGAAAATTTAACGAGAAGAACAGTCATCATTTAAGTCATATCATAAAGTTTTATGACCAATCATCAATTTTTTTTTTTTTTTTTTTTTTTTTTTTTTCCAGAGGAGAAAAAATAAAGAAATGTGACGTAATTGTTAAAATATAATTTCACGGTTTATATATCTAAATTTCTACATCTAAATTTCAACTTTAGGTTCTGGACGATAAAAAATGAAAGAATTATTAATGACGCAAAAATAACAAAAATTTAATGAATTTCATCCAAATAAATTGTTCTTCGCAAACATTCCAAAAATCCATTAACTCTTATTATTAGTTTGTTCTTAACAGGAATGGTTGTGAATTTTGAAATGTTTACGAACAACAGTTTATTTCCTAAGCATTTCAAAATTCGTAAGTGATCAACAATTAATCCAAATCAGTTAAACTATTATGAAAACGACAGTGTGTTGGCTGTCATTCAATGTTAATATATCTTTAGCTCGGTCATCTTCTTTCGCCTTATTTCTACGTTTATTTCTCTAAGATCAACTTTCTTCGAAATTTGTTAATCTGTTTAAATTAATTAACACAAAAATTGTCTCAATTATTTAAAGGCTGAATAGCTTGCTAACGAAATTTACCGAATGCTGCTACTAGCGTATTCAAAGTTACACGTAGTTACAAAACGTGTTAATGTATTAATAATTACAAATGTTAATAATAATAATTAATAGTTATAAATTAAATTAATAGCTACAAAATGAGTTAAGTTATTATTTTTAGATTTATAAAGATTACAATATCAATTCTATAATACTTCATTATATAAACTTAATGCTTTTAAATGCAGCTTACGAGAAAACATTCCAGGTTTCATGAAGTTAACTAACAATGGTGTAACGAACTGGCATGTTGTACCAGTAAATTTTCATTAAAGTCGATAACCAGCAAAACCCAAAGCATTAGACTAGTTTCTAATGGATATACTTTACATCTCTTTTCAGGAAGTAATCGGTGAATACACTTTCCTTATATTTGTTGTTCTCTTGGCAATTTTCTTAGTGTTTACCTATAAAAATGTTCCCGAAACTAAAGGAAAGAAAATCGAAGAAATTACAGCATTTTTTGCGGAAAAGGATTCCACCTCATAACAAACTGCAACTTTTCCATGAAAAGGGCAGCCGGAAGTAATTGTGATCGTAATGCTTGAAATTTTTAAGACTTTTTCTGCGTAAGAACACCATATTTCGAGGACTGTGTTTGAAACTTTCAATGGAATGTTTCTCGTGTGGTGTTTTTACATACACACATTTTCGAAATAAAATTATATATTCTATACTGCCTGAAAAGAAAATTACCTTTTACGCTTTATATGTATGTAACTTATTTCTCCTTTCATTGTCCTATTTTATGAAATTTAATGAGAATAAACTTACTTGAATATATATGTCTTTGTTTTTGTTGATTTAATTAATTAGTGCTAGTTTTTTTTTTTTTTTTTTTTTTTTTCTCCGAAAGAATTCAAGAGAAATGCAAAATTTATGAAATATTTGGATAAAATAAAACTATAAACTTTCTGATAACTATTAAAATGTAGATCACTTACTTAATTTTGCTTTTTAATTTGAAAACACCTGGAATCATTCTCAAATTTCATTATAATGTTAAACAGATAAAACTACTAAAAAACACAAAAAGTTTCTTTCTGGATTTTTCGGTTTCCGCATGGTTACCATTAGTTTTGAGGTCCAGGTAAATTCTTTATCATTGCTTATTACAGGGATCCCCAACCTTTGAATATGTTAAAGCAGATATGAGAATACCGGTGAGTCGGCGGGCGCTTGATTTTATCAAGGTAAATTTATAGCTTGATATAATACATAAACACACACACAAAACAAACAAAAAATCCGAAAATTTAAATTTTAGAATATAAAAGTTATTGACTGTATTCTTAAGTAAAGTAAATAGTTACTAAATGATACAGATAACAGTTTACAAATTCTTAGATTTGCAATTCATTAGTATAAAAATTCTTTGGTTTTTAGTTCCTTAGCATAAAATTTCTTTATCAAAATTGTCGGTTTCAATGCCATCTTTGGCATTGCGTTTCATCGGCCATTGCTTTATAATTAGGAGAATATGATTATATTCCTGCTCGCAAGCAATCAAGATCTTCATCTGTATGTTCATCTTTGATTTTGTGCTATTAGTAGTTGAAAACACTGATTTACACAAGTATACGGAACCAGAAAGCGATTTCATCTTGTAAGATGCTCTTAGTTGATGTAAATATGCACTTATATTTCTCTAATAAATCACTCATTATAAAAAAAAAAGTTTTGCATAATATTTTATTGAAGACGTAAGTAATATTTTTTATCGTGGTCGTACAGCAGCGTGCACATGTAAAATCGTCGGCGGGCGCAATAGGAGCCAGCGGACAAATGGCCCCTGGTTTATTTTACTATCTAGTTTCGTATGTAACTTGTTAATCAGAATTACAATTCACCGACATTATTGCAATGCTTACTTTAGCAGTATTCCTTTTCGTCTGCTTTATCCTGCATGAATAATTACGCGAAATACCTGCTGTGAAAGGGAGTCTGTCCACTCTAGCTCTTCTGCATTTAAATGGAAATGTAACACTGACTTAGATTTTAAAATGGAAGAGGGAGAAAAAGGGGAGGAAGAAGAAAAAATTGGTTTTACCTTAGAATTTAATTTATAAAAGTATATGGAATCATTATAGTGAAATAATGTGCATTCAAAATATCACGATAAGCGATCATGTTGGGATAAGTTACATTCTGTGTTATGACGAAGTATTTAAGATGTACACTGCGGGGGGGGGAACTTGGACAGTTCTATATCTCCCGTTTTACTGGACCGATGACGAAATTCAAATTGCGTTTTTCATGTCTCGGAAGCGCGACTTAAGATATATATATTAGATTTATATAGAGCATTGTTCTAACATAGGTATTTTCACGAAAAATGGCATTGTTTCTTAAATGGCATGCCAATTGTTTTCCATATTTCGATTCTACGACTGAAATTATGCATAAATACTAAATTTTGTAAAATTTGGTGCGAAATTTAAGGAGAAATTCAAAAATTTATCTTGGCGCATTCTTTTCATTTTGCACCAAGAATAATTCACTTCGCAAACTTCTTAATTTATAGCAACCTATTTTACTTTTTTTTTTTTTTTTTTTTTTTTTTTTCATTGTAGACGAGCGGAAAAGTCATTGCTCATACTTTCAAATAATTTTAACAAAGTGCGTAAATCACATTTGGCGTTCTTATTGCTTAAAAAAAAAAAAAAAAAAAAAAATGCTAAATTTCAAAACGCTCCAATTTGTGAATTCATGTATATCTTAGAAAATTTTGAATAAAAATCTCGAATTTCTTGCAGGTGTGCCTATAAATATATCTACTTTAAGATGACGTAAAAAATGTATAAGTTCAACAAACAAATATGTTTTCGAAAAATTTATAAAAAATATTTAAAAATACGAATTTTAAAAATTAATCATAAAAAGTTTGCTAATTATATTTGGATTAAACCTAAATTTCGAATTCTGGAAGAAGAAATCAAGTAAGTTTAATAATAATAAAAAAAAGATATATTAACAAATATATATAAAATTCAATTAACATTGAGGAGCTAAAATTTTGGGAGCTAATTTTTTAAAACCCACTCGTGGGATTTTTTACAAAACTTGGCAGTTTGGCATAATTTAAGTCGTAGAATCGAAATATGGAAAAAAAATGGCATGTCATTTCAGAAAAGGTACGATTTCCTGCCAAAATACCTATATTAGAACAACGCTATATATAAATCTAATACATATCCTAAGTCGCACTTTCGAGACTGAAAAAACGAAAGTTGAATTTTTTCGTCAATCGGCCTAGTAGAACAGAAGATACAGAACTCACCTCCCTTTTTTTTTTTTTTTTTTTTTTTTTTTTTTTGTGCTGTGTACATGCTTTAGAAAGTATACTTTCCAAAACGAATTTGTAAAGGAAATTGATGCATATCACTTCGCACATGACACAAGATTGTCTACTTAGACCTTTGTTCGTTTTGGTTAGGAAACATGATTTGAACAACTGTTACTCATATTTATAAAATACGTAAATGTAGCGTTTTGCTTTTTGTTTCCTTTTGAAGAGTTAGTACGTGCTTCTTACTGAAATGTCGATATTGAACAGAGCGAAAGCAAATTAAAGAAACGAAACTTCTATAACATTTCAGGGGCTCTTCTGTAGTATTCTCTAAGCATATATCCTTTGTTTTGTATAATTCCATTTCCATGTAAATGAGTGTATCACTCATGTGCTCGGCCGAATATTAGATTATCTCCTTACTATTTTTTTTTTTTTTTTTTTTTTTTTTCTATTATTAGCGTATTTTTCTGTTTTCTTATTAAATTAGAAATAGATCGGACTGAATTTTTTATTATGGCCAACGCATACGAGATCTATCTGTTTAAACTCTATCAGAATTTCTATCGGAAATACCGCAGTATATTGGATTAAAAATTGTGTTCCTTATAGAGAAGAGGAATCAGAAGAGAAAGTAGCTAATTAGTCAATGAAGAGGAAAAAAAATAAGTAACAGCTAATCTGTTCCTTTAATATTTTTTCCCTTTGTATGAAATGTATATAAATAACATAGTGTATTGTAAATAAATGGAACGTATTAATCTAGATGTCATTAATTGTATACAAGACATGACACCGGCCACAACTGAATCTTACAGTCATCGTAACATTTCATAATCTTAAAACACTGTAGGTTAGGCAGAAATTCTGTGAAATTCGAAAATTACTTCATTTAAAGCAAATAGGTGGATAAATCTGTTTCAGAGTAAGGTTATTTAAGATATAATAAGACGCCGAACAAATATTAATTTAGAAGTCAAACAACAAACATCAGCGTTATATTTTCAAATTTTCACAGGACTAGTTTCGATGGTTTTACATCCTCCTCCTGCAAAAGCACAAATGAGCTCCTCATTTGCGCTTTTTAAGCTGAGGATGATGGTTCGGTAAAACCATCGAAACTAGTCCTGTGAAAATTTGAAAATATAACGCTGATTTTTGTTGTTTGACTACTAAATAAAGGTTATTTAGCTGTGAATGGGTAAAGATGCTCCGAGAAATGTTACAAACTCTGATTGCTAATTTATTTCTAATTCTGGCTTTAAAAGGAAATCTAGCCCATCAGCGGACGAGCGGTAAAAGCCGCTGAACACTGGTAGTTCGGTCCGGAGCTCGAGTCCCGGCAAACGGACTGGCTGCATGAGCGTTTTCGTGGTTTACCCCCATGTGCAATGTGGATACGAGCCAATTTTCCTTGAAAAGATCTCCACGGGGCATCCCTCCCTTTCCATGTAGTGCCTAATGGCGGAGAACGTGATAAGTAAAAATATTAAATCTAAGAAAGATAAAGAAGAATATTCTTTACCAGACGTATGTAAGATATGACTCTGAAAACACGATCTATTATTAGTTTAAATATTTACATTTTACAGAATTTTACCAGAACAGAGAAACATGATAAAATTTGTTAACATTACGTTATTTACAAGCACTTTATTAATGATATTTTACAAATACCTTGTTAAAATTATTTCTAACTTCTTTCTAACAGATAACTGTACATTTGCAAGTGAGAATGAAGTTAACATGAAGAGGACGCGGGTCAGATGCCGAATATTTTATTAAAAATCTTATTCTCATACCGAAAATACCACAATGTTATTAAGTAGCATATTTTTTAAATGGTCCATTGCTTTGTTTATTTTTTAACACTGCTTTTTTATCGCTGATAAGCAATGTTCAGTTTCATTTTTAAGCACACATTTAAATCACTATTCGGTATGAACTGACAATTCGCTGTTTTTAACAGCTATTCTAATGAACCATAGACTTTACATGAAATTAGACATTTTGTCCCACGTGATGTCATATGATCAGCAGTTCTAGTTAACAGCTGCGAAGTATCGATTCGTGGCGAGAATGTTTGCTTTCCCCAGAATTCCATTTCCGAGAATTTAGTTCCCCGAAAATGGCGCGTGGAAAAGGATATGATGTGGAGTATTTCTTGCCACCTTGATTTGGCTGGCTGTATCTTGCTTCTCCCTCCATCGATCTTTTAGTGTGGAAGGTTTTTAAATAAAATAAGGTCAAAACAAAGTTTTCCTAGTATCAACATTTATTAAAACTCATAAAATAATTAGGAAATAAAAGAAGAAAATGCTTTATGTTGTTTGATGAGACCAAGAGTTTAAATAATTATCTTTGCAAAACTTATCTACAGTTTTACATCATGAATATCAAAAATCCTTAATAAATTTATAAAAATAATGGTTGCGAAAAGTGTAAGATAACACTTGTACATTTCACAACGCATATTCTATTTCGTTATTTGGGTACTCCCGCTTTTATTACTTGTGACATAAAACCGTAGACAAATTTTATAAAGAGAATTATTCAATCTCTTGCCCCCGCAAAACTATAGAATAAATTATTTTTCTTCTTTAAGTCCATTAATTATTTTATGAGTTTTAAATAAAAGCTTATTTTATGAAAGCGTTTTTAGCGTTATTTTATTTTTATCTTTTTAGTCTCAATGACAGGTTGTCAATTAAATTATTCAGTTGAAAACGTTTTTCAACAATGAAAAATTACTCTTTTACTTCCAACGATCTGTTATGTCAAATAGTTAAACAAGATGGAGTGATTTCCCAAAATTTTTTATAAAATCAGACATTGTAAGTTTCTCATAAACTTCATTTAAAATATTTTTTTCCGCTCTATCCGAGGATATAAACAGTAAAATTTTGAGAGTTTTAATTTGTTCGTTAAACGAAAATGTGTGCAAAAATTCGTTTCAATATTAAATTTCAAAATACCTAAATCGAATTTTTATAAACTTATCGTTATACTATATTGTAGTGTCGTCTACAATGGGTGCGTGTGGAAAGTTTCAGTGAGACTGCTTATAGACAAAGACTTAAAAAAAAAATTATGGCAAAGTTTTGACTTTCGTGACAAACATCCTCAGCTGAATTTTTTTTTTTTTTTAAAAAAAAAAGCTTATAAAAACTTGACTAGTTTTAAAAAATTCTAAAATTTTATCCAATTAATACTCACTATTGCTTCAAAAAAAGGGTGAAGTGTTTGTTTTATAATGTTTGGAAATTTTAAATCTCCATAACGCATGCATTTTTGGATGTTAGAATTTTAATCCCCCATAACAGAATTTAAGATTATGTCTCACAAAAAAAATTAAGAAGGTTAACTTTTAAAATGAAAGTTTAAAACTAAGTTTACGTATAAAAAACTTCTGAAAAAGAAAAAAAAAATTAAAACAGCACGATATATTTCATTGCATTTAATTTTCAACTCTAATCAATCCTTAAACTTTTTTTTATAGGTTAATAAAATAAATGCAAAGAAATTCGTACAAAAGCAACAAGAAACGTATGATGTAATGACATGATAAACGATTTTTCTCCTTTCTGCTTCCGACTGCAGAACACATTGAAAAAAATAATGTTGAAAATCGCCCAATTTTTTATCATTTTCGTTTTTAAAAGTGAGTGAGGAGTTTATTTCATAATCTGTGAAAATTTTAAAACTTTATATCTGATACATTTTAGGTGCTGAAAATTTAATATAATAGACTTTAAATAGTCAAAAAAAAAATCAAGCAAACTTGAAAAATTTCTCAAAATTTCAGAAATTACATTAATAAATTTATACAAATTTCACTTAAAAGACTTTTTTCAGTTACCATGACGACAAATTACAAGAGTGAAGTGTAACGTGTATACGAGCCAGTTCCCCTTAGAAAGTCCTCCACGAAGACATCCCTTCCCTTAAGCAGATAACCCTCGAGGCTTTGCCATAATCACACATACACACAAGAGCGAAGAGCATAAAAGCTTCTAAAAACTGAAAGCATTCTTCCCATGTATCTTTACGGTACAGCGATCCGCATTCGAAAATAAAGTTTACAATGTCTTGGGTTCAAGTCTTTGGAAGGGGGCGATCTGATTTCCTAAGACTTCTTTCTTCTCGAAACCTGTTGACTTAAAGTAATAAAAATAAATGTTTAAGATGAAATTTAGAAGATACTTTAAGCATGATGCAGGAATCAAGTAAAAGGATCTGAACAGATTAAATTATCTATGCGTTTTTGCTGTTTACGCGTTATAGAAGTAACTATAAATAAAAATATTTACTACAGACTATCGCTCGTTAACGACACAATGTGGTTATTCTGTCTGTCACAAACGTCATCCAGCTATTACACGAGTTAATAAAACCAGCTTTAATCTGACGATATTATAAGTTTAATTTAACTCGCAATAAGTTCAGTACAGAAATATATAAATCTAAACTGATTTCATTTAACTTGCCACCAATTAAAACGGGCGATTTTTCTTCAACCAGAAAACATTGTTAGTGAAGCTAACAATGTTTTCTAATTTTTGCTGCTGACAGTAAGACTATAATTCTTGTTACTACTATTATAATCTATATCGTAGAGCATTTGTTTTTATTTTCTACCTAACTTTGCTTGCAGTTACAAATTGCTAGTATCAAAAAACTTATAATAGAAAAGATCGAGTATAGCAGTTTGATAAAATATAAACTTTGCAGATGTGTAAACAGCAATATTATTATTAGCTGAAATTTAATGTGTGACTTGAAGAGATAAATTAAAAAATTGAAATCAGTGATAATCAGCTTTTAGTTGCCAATATATTAAAGCTTATTCCAATTTTTGGTACTTTTCCGTTTTGCCGTCGCAAGCGATAAAGTCGCCAATAATGGTACAACCGATGCCAAACGGAATATTCTCGCTGGTAACCTTTTACGCCTCATTTTCAAAACAAGTCGCAGCTTTTTCTTATCAGATTGATTGTTTCTTTCAATACTGGCATATCATTACATAGAATTTTTATCAGATAGTTCAGTTTTATGTCTAAGGCCATTTTCGGTAATTAAGTCAATTAGGATGCAATCACAGCGTTTACCCGAAGCCGAAAATGTAGAAAAGGTAAAGTCAAGGGTTAAATTCATCTATTCTAATGAGAATGCATTAGCGAAGTAAAGCACTGCAGTTTTACATAATTTCTGAGTAAGCTATTCGTACGAATTGAAATATTTCTTGCATTTAAACTTGTGTTCCAAATTAAGATTTAACTTAAAATTAATGTAGATAATTACTGAGAGCATTAGATTTTTGTAGAGTAGTTTACGTGAGATGAGATCGCTTGGGGTCACGTGATATGAATCGGCGAATCAAGATGTTGAACCATGAAAGCATAGTAAATTCTTAAATTAATGTCTTTTTACAAATTTGTTGCCTTTATTTATTGGCTTTTTATAAAATTTTAAGTGATATTAAAATGTTTATGCCTTCTTTTTTAAAAAGAATTCTTAGAACTAACATTTTTAAAATATTTTTTATCTGTATACTGTACGTTGTCGCTAATAAAGTCTGTTTGGCGAGATTTGCGCCGGCGAAACGGAAAAGTACCCAATTTTTTATTAATCTCGAGATAAATATGAGTTTAGTTATTTAAACGAGTTAGTGAACAGAAGATTCTAAGAGAAATTTTAATTACAGTAATATTATTTACTTACGCAAAGCGAAAATAACATAAATTAATCCAAACCATCATATTCGCTAGTTTAACGGACATTTAAACAGTTTTCTTAAAATTTATGCTGTGCAATATGATTTCTTAATTCCTTAGAAAGTTTAACCACATATAAAAGAATATACAATTTACCTATAAAACTTATTATTGATTATGAAGTAACAGTAAAAAAGGCATAGAATTTTAACGCAAATCTTATTCATAAAATATTATTTATATATTACAATGAAAAGCCTGGATAAATAAGATAAAATCAACGATATTTCACCATCACACAAATTTTATTGGGTCAAATTAAATTAATATAAATATAAATTATTAAACTGTTATTTAACATTACATACGTGTTTTGAGTTATTAAATCTTTACTGGAATCGGTGCAAGACAACATCCATTCTGATCATTCACAGCTTATGAATTTAACGTGAGAAAAATATCTAAACTTTCAAATTATAAAAAAAATCAAGCTAACCGTGAAATGTTAAGAATAAGAATAAAACTAATATTTTAAAATTACATTTGTTCGAGAACTAAAAAAATATTTATGCATCAGTATTAATATTAAAATACTTTATAGGTACTGATAAACATTTAATTCATGAATTACTGAAAAATTTATTATGGTATTACGAGTTATCATTATAGTACGAAGTGATTACCAAAAATACTATTTCACATTAAAATATAAATGCTTCTCCTCACAAAATAAGAAAGTAATATAAAAGGGAGTAAAATTAGTGATTGGCTTATGAAGAATTTCGAACTAAACAAACATCGATGAGCAAAGAATTTCAAAGGCACAAAGAACATACGCGGAGATTAGACAAACTGGTGATATTTGATTTAACTTTCATGACTAAAATAAGCGTAACGTACAAGTTCTGGTAACTCCGAAGACTTCCTTCATTTCGAATTCATACGTGATTGACATTTATTAGGACCAATGAGAAAGAGTTATTCAGTGGGAGGAGCGAGAAGCTTCGAGAACTTGCGGTTTTGTCACATAAGGATGAAATTCATATTCTCTACGATTCGACTTTCCTTGGCATCCATCTTCCATGTCAAACTCCCGAGACAAGGGTTCCCTTTTGTTTGATATCTTCGACTTTCATAGAAAACTTCTCTTGGATATGTGTGGAAACTTCACCGGAGATTATCTATAGTGTCGGAAGTAGCATTAGAGAATTCTTGCTGATAACAGAAAAAATTAAAGTATCAAAATATCAGTCTCCGATTTTTCTTCCATCAGATAACTACGTCCGGTATTACACAACGTCACGTGTCCTTGTGCGCATCTTCTTTTAGGCGGCAGATTTCAGTGTAAGCGCGATAGCTCCCGCAGTAATAGTATATGTAACTAGAAGTAGAACTTCAATTTCAGAGTTGATTCTAGACTTAAAAACGACTTTTTCACAGTCATCTTAGCTTGAGCGGCTACCTCAAATCATTGTCAGTTTGAACGTCTGACTCTTACAGTTCATAACGTTACAAGCTACAAGGTAAGTTTTGATACATATTATATTAATATTTAAAAACTGCTCTGAAAGGTTTGATCATTGTTTCCCATCTTGTTTTTGAAGAATATTTCTGAGTGATGTTTTAAGTTTAAGGCACTGCTTAAGCAAGGTCAAAAATTTCTGCTTTGGGGCAAAGAATATTTAGATGCCCCTACATATTGTTTATATACACAGTTATACTAACACTAGAATACATATAAGAATTGCATATGTGGATGGTTATAAAAGTACCACCATTTTGAGTATTAGAAATTAATTAAAATCAAAACAACTCAAAACATACATGATTGCTGTCAGTATATAAGTAAGCTTTATTAATGGTGAAGTAATATGATAGCATGTTTTTTTTTTTTTTTTTTTTTTTTTTTTTTTTTTTTTTTTTTTTTCGTTTGGCATGGTCATTTTGAGCAACTCGATCTAAATACTTTTTGTCGGTATCACTAATTTCTGGAGGCCTAATTCTTAAAACAAAAGGTTTGTGGAAAACTGTGCCACTTGATAAAGTGAAATATGGCTGGCCGCCGAAATCAGGCCACAGGTTTCTTTCCTATCTCATAATTTTGGTATTTAAAAAAAAAATTTCTAATATTCCTTTAGCTTTTTGAAAATTTCCTGAGGTATTACAATCTAGTTTTTAATTTTATGTTGTAACCTATTAATTTTTCTTTTAGCATTGGGGTTTTTAGTACAATACAGTACTAAAGTACAATACAATATATATTTTTAAATTCTAGTTTTATTTTTTATCATATCCCTAATAGAAAGCATAGAAATGCAATGGTAGTCTGTTAATTTTAAATCTGTTTGAAATCATATTTATCGCATCATCAATGCTACTGATGTAACATAATTTACATCTTAATATTGTTTTTCATTTAATTTCCTTTCAGTACGAAGCCTTAATATGTTTATAAATTTACACCAATCGGTTGTTTGAATTGCTTCCAAAAGTACAGCAAAGTCTGTGTGTATTCAGAGCAAGTAAGGTAAAATGGTTGTAATTTCGTGAAGTTAATGTCTGAATGTGAAATGGGCAGTTATTATTGCATGTAAGATACAAATAAAGAATGATAGAGGTGTGTGTGAATGCTGCAGTCAATGATTCGGAGGCTATTTTGCTGTGTAAAAAAAAAAAAAAAAAAAAAAAAAAAAAAAAAAAAAAAAAAAAGGGTTTTCATCCGCAGAGAACCCGTTGGCGCCGTTGCATTTTTACTCGCCAAGCTCGCGGTTCATCGGCGATGAGCCGAGCCGCAAACGTGATTTTTAGTGCATTTAAATTTATTTACAGACAAAACAATATATTAAGCATATGGTAGTAAAAATTCACAGATAATAAGCATGTAGATGTAAAACTAACTGGTTAAACGTGATATACTAAATAAATTTGTATTAAATTCAAGTTAGCACAGAAAAGAATATATTAAGCATAAGACAATATATAAGCATTTATAACGGAAATAAGAATTCATTTGAAAAACATAAATTAGTATTAATGTACTGAAATTAACCGGTTAAACGTGATAAACGAAAAAAATTTCTCTTAAATTCCATTTAACACAGAAAACAATATATTCCTTACACCAGCAGTGTTTTGCTAATTTTGATGATCATGGTGATGCATCAAACTTTCTGTCATCTTAGATAATCAATAATATTTTGTATTTCAATTTAATCATCTATTTATGTCACACCTGCCATCCTCTGAAAGGTTATTGTTAGAAAAGCATTAACAATATATTATCTTGTTAAAATTTTACGCCAGAAAATTGATTTATTCTCATAATTTTAGATGACAATAACCAATAATAAAAATAAAAGCATTACTTAGTTATTTAAATTGCTGGTTCTTAGAACTGTTAATAATTAAGAACACAACCTGAACAGCCGTGTTACAAATTAGCATTCACCCCTCCCGCCGTATTTTCTTCCTTTCATCCCGAACCAAGAACCGGCATCTATCTACGAAAATATTTCTATCTATTCGTTGTTAAAAAATTCAGAAAAAATAATAATAAATAAGACTAATATAAATCTGCAAATGCGAATAACGACAGTGATAATTCAACAAAATGAACGCAAGAGGAATGGTTGCAAACTTCGAACATGCGAATACGATAAATCCGCTGGGTTACCAGGTTTGAACTATTATCGCCAAAGTTGGCGATGTTTACATTTACCGGGTTCTCTCCGGAAGTGCTTCCAAAAAAAAATTGATAAACTTCTATGCCCCATCTACTGGTTTGGCTAGTTCTAGTATTGATGTTTTACATTAAAATCCTTACTTACAATGATGTATGTGCGTATTATTTTTAAAACGTAATAAAGTTCAATGTATTCGATTTGATTAAGTTGTAATATGTAATTCTTTGCATTAGTGATACATTTATTTTCGTTGAGTAATATAAATTTTATGCTTTCAAAGATATCATTCGTATTACCCAATGGTGCAACTTATTTTTGCGTATGCGCTGGTGTTACCCAGTATCGGGTTAAGCGTCTAGCAAGCCCTAGACAAAATTTAAATTTAGTTCCTATTTACAGTGGCTCCCAAAAGTGAACAAACACTTTAAGAATTTGTAGAAAAAGTAGCCTGGAGTTAAATTCGATTATAAAGCCCAGTATTTTTTCATATCATCTCCATGTGATTTTGAATAAAACCAAACTTTTCTTTTCATAATACTGACCTATTTTCTTTTTCTAAAATTCAAAATGTATGGTGTTATAGGTAAAACATGCCACAAAGGTTATCGTACACGGAAACATTTTCGTAGAATTTCATAAAAAAAATTTATAATCCGACACTTTTTTTTTTTTTTTATTTTGAATGACGTTTAAAAATTTGTTTGGTTTTATTCATTGCTTGCTTACTTCGATAGAATTTAATTAATATTTAAAAATTTGTCGTAGTCGTAAGAAAACAACAAATATTTCTCGAAAATTCATCATTTTTCATGATAAGGGTGAAAAATAGATCCGGGATATCGTTAAATTAGTAAATTTATCCCATTCTGCCTTGTAGTATGTGATAAAAGGCTTTAAAGAAGGAAACTGGATCGAAAATAAAGTAAGAAGACGTCGTCCGGCGAAACTAATTCAACGTGATAGAAGATTTATAGTTAGAAAATTTGTGAAAAATCCACGTATGAGTGCTATAAAAATTTCTAGAGAATTTACTGAAAAATATTTTACTTCAATTTCACCTGAAACTGCTCGACGAGTTATCAGATCAGCTCAGTCAGATTTACATGGGCGCCCTGCTCAAAGAAAAATTTTTGTATTTGCAAAAAATAGTCAGTGGTCTTCCTTGGTGGCGCTCACTCACTCACTCACTTCCCTTACCATAATCAATGGTAAATAAGCCCGAAGCGCATTGGAATCATGTCTTATTTGCAAATGTAAGAAAGTTTAACATTTTTGGCTCCAACTGGCATATAATTTTGGAGAATAAAAAATGAGGAACTTAATCTCAAGGCTTTGGTTGGTACAGCAAAGCATGTCGGTGGAAATGTTTTTGCTTGGGGGGGGGGTGCATGTCAGTTATCAGGATTAGGTAATTTAAGTATTTATTGATGGCATAATGCACCATGCTCTTTATTTAAATATTTTAAAAGGAAATTTAAAGTTTATCATCCTAAAACTTGTGCTTTGGAAACATTTTTTTTTTTTTATCGGGATAATGATCCTAAGCACATGGTCCTCAAGATTCATCTTTGGTGTGTCTATAACCATCCACAAATTCTAAAAGCACCACCTCATTCACTAGATTAAAACCCGATATAACGTATTTAGAGATAATTACAGGTTAGACTACGAAGACACAACATAAAAACATAAACCGAATTAAAAACAAGAATGATGGATGAATGGAAGGACATTGATGCATATATCACCCCCCAAAAAATCTGAAAGCTTTCAGATTTTATATTACCCCCCAAAGAGGCGTTTTTTTAATGTTTTGTGTGTTACCTTTATTTATTAAATAGCATATTCTTCGCACTTGAACCATAAAATTCAATTTAACAGCAATATCACAAAATATTTAAATGAGCATATCTTAAGAATTTCCGATACACAGTCTCGCGCGCTAGAGATAAAAATGTTTTTCTGTACAGGTTTTTTTTTTTTTTTTTTTTTTTTTTTTTTTTTTTTTTCATGCAGTGTTGCCTCGAAACTGGATGGATGGCTCTAGGTACCATCGTTTTATCACAATGCGAGAAACATACATACGTTTATGAAGATTCTTCACTTTTTAATTTCTTTAAATATAATACAGGGCTTTAATATTTGGTGGTAACAATTTAAAAAGTGATTCGCCATTTATAGTGAATCAACGAATATGTGCAGCTATCTTTAAAGTACACAAATGTTTTTGTGTAGTAACTTTTCTGCTATTTTTCTATTATTAATTTTTTCCAAAAAAAATTACTATGTTCATAAAATAACTAATGTATTTTGCTAAGAGAAATTTATAGATGTTATTAAAAAATCTCATTTTCAAATATTAATTTTTATTAATGAATAAAGCAATATTTCACTGAAACTCGTAAGTGTACGAACACTTTTGTGAATCACTGCATATTAGTTGCTTCTGATAAAATTTTAACTAATATCACTTAAAAATTTGAATAATAGTACCAACACTAGTACAATAAAAACTGTACGTTAAAAGAGATTCTTGTGTGCATGATAAATGTATAAAAATGTCTAAAATTACAGTTATGAATTAATATTTTTTTAAAATTTTCATTTCAGAAAATTTGTCAGTAATATGTTCTTAATCTGAGAGAGAATTAAGAGTAGCTTTTTCTATGGCAAGCATTGCTAAAGACCTTAACTTTTCCTGTCTGTTGAATTTCTTAATTAATTTTTCTCTAGTTCTGAAACACAGAAAACTATCTTTTCAGTTGCATTAATCTGAGGTATAATTAAGTAAATGATGAATAATATTTCTGTATTAAAAAAATTTAGAAACTGGAATGATCCATTTTTTATCAATGGTTCGCCCCCCCTTTTTTTCTTATTTTATTTTTTCCGCTATTAAAGAAAATTGTATCCATTTTTTTCCTTATTTCTATTATATAATGTGATAAGTTCTTAAATGTTCAAATGCTACTAAAATGTTTGAAATGTTATCTTTCTTTCTAACTTTGCTTGACCAGAACACCCCATTCCATTTTCTAAGACTTTCTTGAGTCTATTGATGTAAGATATTGCGACAGTTATTAAGTTACATCCACAGAGGGTGTTCACACATTTTTGTAACGATTTTGCAAAGATTAATATTTGTATCAAACCTTAGAGTTTAATTTTCTGATATGTTCAATCTTATAGCCCTTTTGTTGAACTATCATATTACATCTTGATTTCCAAAAATAGGACTGAACTTTACGGGACCAGTTATCACCAAGCCTAACTTGAAAGCTGATACAACGGATCTTCAGCCGCTCCACTTTTGTCGACAGCAGAACCATATGATTCTGTATATTCTTTGTCCTTGTCTTCTAGGTGGACTTTAATTCAAAAACTTAGAGCTAATTTCTCGAACCGTTAGAGTGTGAAATATCTCAGCCATCTGAAGACCCGTTCAAAATGCAATCAAGTGAAATCCAGTCTCAAGGCAGGACAACTAGTTTTCCTGAAGGATAAATACAAGACTCTCATGAAGTGGACACTAACTCGCGTTGAGGAGATCTTTCTTGGCCCGGATGGACTAGTACGAGTTGTGGACGTTAGAACATCAGATGGAATCTTTCGTCGAGCCGTCTCCAATATCAGTCCATTCTCATTCCCAAATGATGTTGCACAACCGTCTAACAGGGAGTCGGGGTGTTTCGGTTTGAATAGAAACTTTTCTGTGCCTCGGAATGGCAACAGTCGTAGACACATTAGGTTATTTAGAAACAGGAGCTATGAAAAATGAGCAATGCCCTCGCAGGGACTCGAACCTCTGGAATACGCGGAGAGTGTCCTGATCGTTACACCAAAGGTATGCTAAGAAAGAGGGAGAAATACCTTATATACTCCCCTTTTAAAGGGCGACTGGGGATTATGAGACCCATACACTGGTAGTGGAAAATCATCATCCACCACCTCCTCTTTTTTTTTTTTTTTTTTTTCCGGGCACCTCTGTAGAGACATCAGGTTATTTGGAAACAGGAGGCATGAAAAATGGGAAATGTTCTCGCCGAGACTTGAACCTCTCGAATACGTGCCGAGCGTGCTGACGATTACAGCACGAATGCGTGCCAGGAGGTCGGGAGAAATACCTTATAAAGTCTGAACTTGATTTCCGATTTGTTTCAATGCAGCTCGACTGCTGCTGGTGAGATGTGAAATAGATTCTAGATTAGATTAATTTGTTTGGTATTTTAATAAATTCCCTTTTAAATTAGATTTAATGTTGATTTAGACAGAAATACCTCTGAATCGCACATAAAGAAATTTAGATGCGGCATTTAGATTCATCGTAAAATTCGGTTAGATACGCAGTGCCATTTGTCTATTAGCCTAGCGTACATTAGCGTACAATGTTCTTTAACAACAAAAGTTGCGTGTGATACTCTATTGGGAATATTTTCAAGAACTGGTATTCCGAAAACTATAACAAGTCATCAAGGTGTAAGGATCTTAAGTTTTACTAACGTTTATTTTATTTTAAATCTTTACTATCACTTCTTATTTTCTACTTCCGGCCAGAATTAAAAGCGTTAACTTATTTATGCAAAATTTGTCTGGCGAACGCCAAGTACTTAAGTTGTGGCTTTTTGCCAAGCGAGAGAGAGGAAGGAGTTAGTCGAAGCAGGCCGCTTACCTTAGAAGTTTTACTCAGTTGCTGGTTGCCTTCCAGGCCAGAGGTTTAATCCTCTTGATAATTTTAAACGTATTGTAGTGTTAACAGTTCTCTGTACTACATACGGCTTCCTGTTAATATAAGGCCAATCTTCCACGTTTATTATTTCAAAGTTAAGTTAGCATTTAGTTATATTTTTATATTCTTACGTTTAGACCACAAGTAGTGGGTCTTTATATTCCGAAGTACGGAAATTATTGTAAAGAGAGAAAAATAAAGGGTTTTGTATACCCTTCTTGTGTATCCTGTCTACTTCCCACAGTTATTGAACATAGCTTTAGTAAGCTCCCTGTTCCGAGTCAGGTCCTTGCATGTTCCCAAAGAAAGTAAGACGGAACATTGAACCTGATAAAGGGACCAACTTTATTTCTCAACTGACACAATTTATGAAGCGTGTTGGATGTCATCCAAAATTTTCAGTTCCAAGATATCCAACTAGTAATGGCCTTGTAGAGAGATAGAATAGAGCTTTGAAAACCGCTTTGCATATCATCCGCATGGATCTATCTAATTGGGGTGAATATCTGCCATGTCATGGACAGATTCCCAATTCTACTATCTGTGTGTCTCCTTTCAAGTTAATGTATGGTCAAGAGATACGAGGTCCACTGAGTGTTCAGAAGTCAAGTTGAAGTGGTGAGATACCAATATCTTTAAACCGGAAGCAATCAGTTATTAATCATTTACAGGAAATGAAAATAAACTTAGAATGAGCTGCTGATCATGCAAGTTTGATAGCATCTGAGAAACAAACAGCTTATTCGAATTAATTTAATTGCTGAACTGTGTTTATTTGCTTATTACTGACTCATCCAGTGTCGCAAGATGGATTGGTCCAGGAGAGATCATAAAGTCTTGTCCACTTCATTTACATAATGTCAAACTCTCTGGTGGGAAAAAACGACACTCTCACGTGAATAAAATCAGAATGTATATCGCTAGAATAAACGCGGTGGGAATTTTTTTGAAGACGAAGAAGTTGGAAGATTCATCCAACTGCGCAAGTTTCATCTCAAAATAAAGAAAGTTCAGTCATTTCATCAGAACTTAAAACTTAAACATTTAACGAACGATCACCAGCAGCAAAAATTTGACAACTTATATGAAAGAACGAATCACTGTTTATAGGTATAGCGAAGAACGAGAAAACCGCATATTTACCAAATTCCTCAAAATTAAAAGCCCATATTTGATATACAAATTGAAGAGCTGTTAGAACTTGATTTAGAGAGTTTGATTCATGCTAGTAAAAACATTAAGATTTCTGATGACATAGTTAAAATTAAATGTGGTTGGACAACTGTGAACCTTCAAGTTATGAATATTTTTTTACGTAATTAGACTAAATATATTGTTGTCATCTTCTTGTTAAGTATATTGTATTTTGAGTTCTGTTCCACCCACTACAAATTAAAAGCTGGGTGGAGGTGTCGCTCATAACGGTTGTGTAAACGTAATTTTCCATAAAGTTATTTTTCGCGTTTTGGCAACACCGTGTTTAATTTATGCTTAGAATATTAAAGGAAAGGCACTAATGTACTATATTTTCGTACTGAGGTGATTGCTTGTTTTATTTTGATTACTTATTCCTTACATATGTTTTTTTTAATTGGGAAACCGAGCGAATGAATAAAATTCAAATAAAATGTCACAACAGTATTAGTCATATAAGTACATGCATTATACATTCATTCTTCTTTCCGCCGAACTAAATGGCACTAAGAGTACCGTCATCCGCAGAACCAGGCACAAAGGTTCGAACTCTGCCCCCGCACCTTGGAGAGAGGGACGTTTAATAAAATATAAATCAATCATTCTACTTACTAGATTTAAAAAACGGCGTTGTTCTCAGTACATTTTGCTTAAATTTTAGAAACATTCAAGAAAGCAATACTTTTCGTACTTATTTAAGCTAAAATAGGTAGAATGTATATGTGTCCCGAAGGTATGATGAGACTTAGATGAGACTACTGCAGTACCGAAGGGCCCGGGTTTGAATCCCGGAGAAAGCATGAATCTTTGTAAATGTAAATTGTCTTTGCGACGTGGGGGCACTCTAAATACATGCCGAGCCGAAAGTAATCTCGAGAGATTGATGGTAGGAAAAGTGAAGTGGGAGACCCTCTTACCCGTCCCCCAGGGGTGCTCTTCATCAAAACTGGGGGCGGAACTGAGCGAAGTCGTATTGCCACCTATATGGTGCTCAAGGCTCTTGCCAACGGCAGGCGCAATCTTGCCACGTCGAATTTCGTGGGCTTGTTCTGATGTTACTGTAAAACAAGTGAGCTAAGTCACAGTAACAACAGTATGTACATATAGTGGTATCTTTAAGTCTTGTATGGCATGCAGAGTTGGTACTATAAGATTTGATTCTAACTCAATAGATTTTACAATAAAAATATCAGTGCAAATCTACGTTTACTTTTGTAGGAAAGCAATTAGAAATGTAACATAGCATGGGTTCAAAATCCAAGAAAAAATTTTAACCAAAATCAAGTATTTGTAAGTAAAATGCGGCTAAGCTGTACAAGAATGAATATGTATTGATTTAAATTCACTTCATATCACAGAAAATCTTACCCGTGAAAGCCAACAGAGTGTGTGTCTTTATGTGGCCCTTATCAAAGATCTTATGTGGATATTCATTCAAATTCCTTCTTAAATTTCTTAGGGAAAGAAATGTATGTAAGCTTACGTTTAAGGAAAAGGAAACTTTTACAAGTATATGAAACAAGAAAAAAGGCCAGCTTATTTTAAGTTCATTTTAGGAATTAATTTCTTACATGTTTTATTTTCTTAAACATTTTGCCTGCCTTTTAGAATTTGAAAAATAACAGCACATTTTCTACATAGTTACCTATGTATTAAAATATAGCACTTTTCTATAATATTTTACAGATGAATCTATCAGCAGAAACTTGCACGGAGGGAACTTCTGAAGAAAGACAGGCAAAACGAAAACGATCTGATAGCGGTAGCAGCAGCCAAACTGAAGGTATGGAAGAATTTTTACTAATAAAATAACCACTCTCCTTATGAACGATCGATAAGAGGACCACCTCTGATAGTGACCAGCATTTCTATGAAAGTAGATAAATTTCAATATTATTAATTACATTGGTATTCTCTTAAGTGACCGTTCTCTAATCCAATCAGATCATCAAATATGCTTTATGATGAGAACCAAAATATCTAATTTGACAAAATTATAATAATTTGAAACTTCATCAATCAAAATGTTACTTTTCCATTTCTTACTACAACATTAAAACTTTTATATAGGAAAACAGTAGTTAATAATTTAGCAAAATATAATTTTCCTTCAGACCTGACCGACAACTCTGTTTAATTGATTTATCATCTTCGAAAATTTTTATGCTAAATTTTTCATTTCTTGCAGTGAGGATGGTATTTCATAAAAATTAATATTCAGGTGGGTCTAAGGCATTTCTTTTTTGTCTTTATCGTTAATGCAATTGGTCACCTTTAATGAGAATTTCAGTCCATTTAATTATTAATGCATTATTTATTATTTCATCTCAAGCGATTGAAGTAAGCTAAGCATAGATGGGGAAAATGTGTAGAAGTATAAAATTTCCAAATTGTACTTAAAAGTACTTTCCAAACTTTCATATTTTTCTAACTAACGTGGCTTCAGCTTCACCCATATGTTTGCTATTAACATATCTGTTATGCATATGCGTATAACATATATGTTCTCCATATGTTTGTATTATTTATTCATCCTTAATCCCTATCCCCGAAACTTCTAACTGCTTCAAACAAAATAATTTCCTCATTTCCTTTAAACCTGTTAATAAATTCAAGTTCCTCAATCATATTCCTACTATAAAACTCTATTTAAACGGCTTTGATGCGTCGAAGACAAACTTATAGAATGGCTAAATACTAAGTTGGGGCTATGCCCTCAAATCAAATCCCTGGGAGCGGATCTGAGTCTGCCGCTTCTCTTCCACTACCACCAAACTACTTGAGAGAATTTACAGCTCGCCAGTGTTTTAAGTGCCCCTAATGCAACAAACATTCCAACGTTTTTGGAAGTCAAAATTGTTGCTATCATGGATTCGTCCCTCAATGTGAATTTCGTAGAATCTTGTCAAATTTTCTTGCATTGCAATCTCATTAATAATTTAGGTATAAATTCATTATTGTAAGCCGTGTGAAAAGAAGTACTGTGATTCCCATCTCTCTTCTTTCTACCAAGCATTCCAACTTCCAAGTGAGGCGGTACAACCTCTTTTACATTCACCATGACAGGAAAGCTTTGGTAAAGTTGTTATCAACTTCCAACAAAACTGCAGTTAGTAATAATCTGTTTTTGTGTCTACTAAATTAAACATTAGACGCTTACAAACATATCGGATCCATGCCAAAGATCCAATCCATCCAAAGATCCATGCCTTTTGGGGGCAGAAAGAAGTAAGAAGATCTTAAATAACGGCATTTGTTTTGTTGTAAAATGCACAGCTTTCGTTTTTTTGGAAGCCAAAATGATTGCTCTCGTTGATTCTTACCTCAATGTGAATTCCTCAGAATCTTCCCAAATTTTCATGCATAGCAGTCTCATGAAAAAAAGTGCTGTGATTCCCATCTTTCTTGTTTCTACCAAGCATTCCAACTTCCAAGTGAAATGGTACAACTTCTGCTACATTCACTATGACAGCAAGGCTTTGGTAGAAGTGTTACTAACCCTCTACAAAACTTCAGTTAGTAATAATTTCTAATTTTCGCTTATTTTCGCTAATTTTTACATTAAATCTTTTCATCTGTATACCTTATTATTGATATAATGATAAAGTAAAGCATGGGAAAAGTTTTGCATGCATGATTTACATTTTACCTATTTCTTTACACTCATATGAATATAAAATCTGCTTGACATTTATTGTTTTATATAAAATTATATTTGAAGAAGCACTGCAGGTATTCTGCACTGAGAAGCAGAATTTTAATTGCAACCTGTAATTTCTCGCCCCCCGGAAGGCAGAATAGAATTCACAGGCATAATGAATTAACGGCGTGTGCACCGCATAAAAGAAAAAAAAGATCATCCCATGGTCGGTATGTTTATTGTTATACCGTATTTGCGTTCGGAAGCCTAAGTTCTATTGTTATAATGAGAAACATTTCTGAAAGATCCATAATTACATATAACACTTGTCTTTTGTCTTCAGCTTTATCAACAGTAGAAGTTGTATACGTATGTATTAAAAATGTAGTAATAAACTTTCCTTAATACAGAAAGAATTTGGACTTATACTGACATTCTTTATTTTTTCAGTGACTGGAGAAAATACAGTAACTGACCAGAGTATACCATCAAGAGAGGTAAAGACACCATGGATCTACGCTTTTGCTCCTAATATCAAAGAGATGGAAATAGATAGCACTAAAGTTGGAAAATGGCTTTTGTTTTACAACAATCAAAAGAAGTGTGAGACAACAAGTCTGACAGATCATGACCTTGCTTGGCAGAACATAGAATCCCTCGTGTTAAATAATTATCAAAATGCAGGTATTATAGAGGCTAAAGCCTCCACAGCTCAGGCAGCTACCAAATTTTCTTCGGGGAGCTCATCTAGAGTAATTTGTTGTTACGTAGCTGATTATACAAACAAATATGAAGTCAAAAGAGCGGCGGACGCAATTCGACGGGTTATCAGTCTGTCGTTTCCCATATATTTTAAAACAGACGAAGCTACATATGCTCGTCAGTATAGTCATTTGGGTAAGAAAAACGTGTCTATGTACATGCACACACTTAACAATGATCTGTTCGAAAGAGATGAATTCGGCAAATGGAGAAAATTAGATTTATAAGATGTAATTACTGGTGCATCATTTACAAGTACGCCAGAACTCCGAGGGTTTCAGAAAGATTGCAGCATTAAATAGCTCTAAATAATTAATTTCAGATTTATATATTTGTATAAAAACTTATCGCATTCCTAAAACCACTAAGTGTTCTGCGATTTAAGTTCAAGACATCTTGCATCGCTGAAATCTATTGGAAATACCCTGTATAATACAAAATGATTTATGCTACATTTCCCAAATACATAAAGCGTTTATGATCAATTATCTAGACACTGAAAGTAAATTGAAGCAAACAAAAGTAGGGGTAAATCTCTGTTGAGAAAGAACAACGTGATATGCTTTGCACAAAGCTATTTAGCATCTTTTAAATTTCTCAATAACTTTCGTTAATTTATTAAGCTTCTTAAATGTGTTATGTTTCTGTACCATGTAAAAAAAAATCTGATGTGTACACTTCCTTGTACGGAATATTAAATTATACGCATTTTTTCTTTCATTTTATTTAAACTTATTAGATTGAATTAACCTACTTCGCCGACAGCGCATAAACCACAATAGAATAAATGCATTCTTTAAACCACTTTGTTTACCATAGCGACACTCTGGCGCTAGGTTTACTTAACAGTATTATATTTCGTTCATATCATAACTCAGAATGCAGAAAATGCATATCATTTAACGAATTATCTAATCGTTGCCACATGTTCTATTCAAATACTATAATAAAGCTAGAACTATGTATAAAAGAAATTAAGCAAACAAAACAAAAAAGAAGCAGTTTTTCACAGACGATTCAGTATTTCTCATTCAATTAATTCAGGTCTCACTTCGCGACAAAGCAAAAATACATAAAATCTCAAAATATCGGTATTAAAAATTACGAAGTAAATCTTAAACGCTTATTTCCTCGAATAAATTCCAGAATGGATTAAGCATGATTTAATTGGCAATAATAAATGAATGCGTTATCTTTGTTGTTGCGAAGCTAAGTTTCTCTAGCTTGGCAACAAATCCACTAGTCTCCTGTTTCAAATGTAAACATCAATGGCCGCCATCAAATTAGGCTTAGCGGCACTTAAACAATTTTAAAATTGTTGATAATTCTAAAAATATATATACAGATTTACAAAAGACATAAAACCCTTAACCGGAAGATAAAAACAACATAATTCAATCATTTTTAAAGCAAAAAATGTACAATTTACAAACATATAAGAGTAAAGCAACTGAGATCACTGAGCCGGGTAACAGAGTGGATATATTTATAAATATATTTATATACGTTTGCCGCGGCCGATTGAAACCAAAATACGAGGTGCACATCTACATGTTATAGTAGTCTTATATACAAAATTTCAACGTTCTGAGGCTACTCGTTTTTGAGTTTTGCGAGATACGTACGTACGCACGTACGTACATATGTTCGTACAGACGCCACGAAAAATCCTCTTCAGAATTCATTTTAAAGCAGTTTTTATGGAGGAAAAGAATCTTTTATTCTGTCCTTACGTACAGATATCACGCAAAAACATCGTTAAATTGCATTCGAAAGCGGTCAAAGTGGATATTTTCGTTGAAATATGCTGCCTGAAGCTTTTCGCGATTACAATACTTCTTTTTTATTTCGTACAAGGAAGTAAAAAGGTTTGATTCATTGGTTCGAATATTTTCAATTAAATAAAAAAAAACTGTTTATATATGTAAGGTTGTTGGAATTTTAATGTATGTATGGTTTCTCCCTCTTCGGAAACCAATAACATCTAAAAATATTTTTTCTTAATAGTGCAAAGACAAATTAATTATGCAAATCTTTTAATGTTTTTCTAGAACTTAATGGTACTCGTAGATTTTCTATTGCTTTTCTTAACAAGAATTCATATTTGTAACAATCGCAGTTATATGCAAAATTGATATAATTTTAATAATTCATGTTGTTACGATTACACATTTTCAAAGACAACTTTTTTGCAACTTTATTACAAATTACAAGCGGATTTTGTGATAATTGTACTGATTTTACTAGTCAGTACTGATGTCATGTAAAGTACATGATTCAATAAAATTGTTTTTTGTGCATTTTAGAAAACCGTATCAGGACTACAATTTCTTCTTATTGCCTTTGCGAACATAACTGGAGTCCTGAGTAAGAACATGGAGTTTACTTAAAATTATGTTTGTAGAAACTGTAAAAGATACAACACAAATGGTTAAGGGTTTAACTAAACTTTTATTCTTCACAGTTTACAGCTGTTCCCGCACTTCGGGATACAAAGACCAGTACTTATGGTCTGAAACGTAAAAAATAAAAACTACAAACTAACTAAATTAAATAAAAACTAAACTCGAATACTTTACAAAGACTAGTAACGCGAAGAAACTTTTAAACATTTACGTATTGTTGCGTTTTTATTATTCTTCTGACACCAGTTGTTGCGTTATTTTCTTCCTTCACGTTCGTACGGGAATTATAGATTTGGAGTGAATAACGACGTCACTTGATGAAGTATCAAAACGCACATTTTTATTGGTCGGTATAAATCAGGACAGCTTTAAAGTCACGTTTTACAGTCGTTGAAGATCTACTATACACTCGCTGGAACTATCAGCGACACAGCTACAGTTATCAGGCTACAACGATGGAGACAGCTTCACTGCAAAGCACCATTGTACAGCTCCCGACTCTGCTCGGTCGTTCTCGGAACACTCGATGCACTCAACGATACACTAATTGCGATATACTAAGAGACTTCTACGGTGCACTTGACGACCCATTCGGCCCTCGCTGCCCGGCTGTCAACTGGATCGACTCCGCACGGACTAACTCGAGACAAACACTCGCACTCTAGGCGAGGCACACTCACTGCGGACCAGCAGAGTTTATATTGTGTTCTGGGCTAAACCGGTAAGAATTCGTTCCAGAAGGTTCTCAATCCGTCCATGGATTATCGCCGATTCTGTCGCCAAACGCGCAATTTCTCGCCAAATGTGGCAACCCTGCCCTCCTTGCTATTTTATAGCAACCCTAAAACTGCTTTGCGGAGATGCCGTTACTGCGCCTGTACATTTCGTAACAGTATATAGTAAGCAGAATGCGTGAACTACAATACGTCTTCAAGTATTAAAGAGAACTAAGTTCTGAAATCAACGGCAGGCAAAAACTGACTGAAGAGCGCGCGGAAGGTAAAGTAGCGAGAAGTCTCTCTCTCTTGGTTAAAAGCCATATTTAAATATTTAACAATTTGCAAGCTCAATTTGCATAACTAAATAACCGCGTTTATTCTGGCCGGAAGTGGAAAATAAGAGAGGATAGTAAAGTTTTAAAATAAAGTAAACCTCCGTAAAACTTAAAATCCTTACAACCTGAAATTAAAAGTGATAATGGTCGAAGTAAATAACTTCTTTAAATTTGACACAAGATTTAAAATTTGCTATGGGACTATGAAATGATGACATTTTCCCTTTGTGTTTTTATTTATCGTAATAAACAGCGTAAATGAAAACTTCACTTCATGCAATTAAATTATAATTTTATTAATTATATTTATGCTTATATTTTTTATCTCATCATTTAAATATAAAAGTTAACTTGAAAATTAAAAAACAGCGACTAACTAAATACTTAAAATCAATCAAAGAATGTAAATCGAATTATATTGCGTAGTGCATCGAATTCTACCTTCAAGAAGAATAAAATTTCAAGTCACGTATTCGGAAGGAAAGGGTTAAGTAAGCCAATAGATGGTCTTCGACTATTCGAGTCTTCGAGTTCGTTAACGACTATTTAAAGTTTGGTCGGGAGTTATGTAACGATTATGTTAATTGTATTAACAGTTAAATTTTGAATTAAACTTCCTTTTCTATCGGCTCTTAATTTCAACTTACCACTTCCGGCCAGAAGGTAGTTTTAGAATCATGTCTGAATGCTAATGAGGAAGAGCGGTATTTAACCGCAAATTTCCACTGTCTTAGTGAGAGAGATACCAGCTATTCTGTCTGCACGCGTCCGCCTTTATAGGCTACTCTCTCGTAAGCTATTATTACGCTCGGCCGTACTTTAGGCCTTTGATAGCTTCGCAGTCAACTAGCGTTAAGGGGCCAACTCTGTTAGAATCATGATAGCTTTGGCTACATCTCTTCAGTTAAGATTAGTTTAGTTTGATTCTTAGTCTCTTAAGTTCAAGCCCGAGTGTCGGCTTTATTCTACAACTCCAAGACGGAGTTCTGTTAAATCTTATTTGAATAATAAAGGGTCTTTTAACCCTTCCCAAGTTTACATATTGTCTCACGAACTCAAGCGATTATTCACTTACTAGTTCTTAAGATTCTTCACTTTTAACTGTAACTTAGAATTACACAGTGGAGAATCCTACAGACTTTTAGTATTTTTTGTTATTTAAGAATTTTATTGTTGTTCTATGTAGAAAGTTGTTTTTAGGGAATCTCAAAAGTACAGTTAAAAGAAATCACTCGTAAAAGATTATAGCCAGGCCAAGATTTTGTCTCTGGCGTTCAATCCAGGGAGTGAGAGGTTTGGCTGAAATGATTCCAGCGTTCCCACTGCTTGCTCAATTCTGTCTGCTTTTCTCCCATCTTTGCACACCGCTCTTGATACACGCCTGCTCCAAGCGTATTCATAAAGGTCATTATTAGTGAGAGATGAATCGTTAAAAAGAACTCTTCAGTGAGCGAATAGTGCCGAACTGCGGAGCGGTTTTGCCTATCTCCACACATATAGCTAGCGCTAGGGGCTGCGCCACCTGGTGCGGTGTCTGTGGGTTCTTAAATTCTGCTGCCCAGTATCTGTAAATATATTCTATAAACAAAAAAATAAAATTTTCTCTAAAGGCGTATTGCTAAAAAATTAACAAGTGAAGAGATGGAGCAGAGACCAATGGGAAAATTTATAAAGTCATTAGGTTATTTTGAAGCAGGAGACACGAAAAATGAGCACTGCCCTCTTCGGACTCGAACCTGGACCTCTCGAATACGCACCGAGTGTGCTACCGTTACACCTCGAAGGTATGCTAGAAGGAGGAAGTAAATAACTTATATACTCTCTCTTTTAAAGAGCACTGGAGATTAGGGGACCGAGTCGACAAATACTACTGGTAATGGTCCACCACTTTTTAGTTAGGGACGCTACTGTACAGTCATTATTTTCAAACAACAGAAGCTAAAAATGAACAATATCATCATCAGGACTCGAATCTGGATCTCTCGAATAGCGCCGAGAGTGCTACCGTTACACCACGAAGGTATGCTAGAAAAAGGGAGAAAATACCATATGCATTGATTTTTTTTTTATTAAAGCAAGTAAATCAGAAAAATAATAGTTGTAATAATGTAAAAATTAGTTCAAACATCTGGAAAAGTTTCAGATTAAAAATATTAGATTCTCATATGCATATTAACAGATTATGTATTAATATTTGAATTTTCCCATTTGCAAAGATGAGAACTTGTTTTTCAGGATTTACTTAAATTCTTATAGTCACTGATTTCTTGATCCATTGAGGAGATTATCAAATTAGAGACGTAATCAGATTTAGGA